CCCGACACTTCTTGCCCCTCAACCCCGCTTCTCCTTGGTCTACGGAGAAATACATTGCAACATGAAGTCTCATAAGTAAGCAGATTTACTGATTATTTGTTGACGTGCAAAGTAATGAGGACAAATGTCCGACACGCAGTTTTAATACCTAGGTCTCCCTCCCGCCGGACGCGCCCGCGACATGCGGGATGAAACCTGCGCAAGCAACCATGTGCCAAGGCGGTACAACTCTGTAGCGGTAACTTTCAAGAACAGGGTAACACACACACACACGGGTGTAAAAGGCGCTGCGAACAAAAGGACGTACAGCATTTCGTGCACACGAGCACCGAGCGATCCGATGGCGTTTGGTTGCACCGCCTTATCGTACTACCTATACCCCAATGCTTTCTCCCCTTCTTGCTCTCGTTCCAAAAGCCACGCACTGCTGCAACTCCAAAGCAAGCGCAGTTAAAACACCCAAGGACCGACGTCGTATGCAAACTTTCGTGTTATGCGATTAGTCTACACCCAACGTCACGTTCGTAAAAGGTTACGCATCATAAACGAACACACCCACTGTCCTTTTTGCGGGCGGGCTGGGCTGTTCTATTTTTTGCGGCCACCCAAACGTCAATCTGCCGAAGTGTATAGTGGAAGTCACGGATACCCCCCCTCCCCTCCCTAGTCACAAATGGTGACAAGCTCCGTCTGATCGCACCTGTGGGCCAGTCGGAGGACCAGACTTGCAGTTCACACAACGATACATTGCGTGGATCTCCAACCTATCTCACTGAATGAAAGCAGCCAATCAGTACGCCGTACGACTAGACTAGTATCCTCCTATGCGGCAAGGCTGAAACACACTCAGCAGCTACACCCACACAACAATAACAATAACAATAACAAGAACAATAACAAAAACAGGAACAACACAACAGCGACAAGAGCAGGAGGAGGAGGAAGAGGGAGAGGAGAAGCACTTCCGTGAACAACGGACACAGAGAAGCACCCGTTCCCTGTATTTTTTTGTTCTTTGCTCAACAAACTCCTCCGCTTCCACTGTCATCGAATCACTTCGCATGTCTTGGCCCCCCATTTCGCACCCCCCTCCCCAAATAAGTAACTGTTCCTATGCATTACTTTTTCTAATCACAATCAAGTTCTCAAGCTACCTGTGATGGCACCACTACTGCCCGACGTCCCCTTTACCCCAACAAAAATACGGCTAGAACTTAAACCACATGGAACATCGACACATCGCATCGGTTCTGTTACCCGAGCATCATAAGAGCAGCAAAGAGAGAAGCGGATCGTCGCGGAACCTTCCCACACGCCTTCCGCACCTTTACTTGCATCTACGCCCAACATCTTGAACGTCCTGTACCCCCGTTTCTTCGCACGTGCTTCCAAACCAGACAAAACTGGTGCCCCACCAAACCATGTGGGTCGCTCCCGCCCACCCGAGTTAGCAACCACCGTCTGCACACACTATCCAAAGCGTCAGGAGAAAATGAGGAACGAACAAGAGAGCGTCCCCGAGTATATTCGCGCACGCACACGCACACTAAGCAGGGTCGGATCCACGCACCCGATGCAACAACAAAAAAGGTCTACAAACGAGGCAACAAACGAAGCAAACAATTTCAGCTCGATCGGACGGTGCGCCGCTGGTGTGGGTCGTGCTGCTACATCTCATCTCGACGCGCACACGAAAAATATCGCGTGGCAGCAGGCAGCGATGCGTGCGGCGTGTCGCAACCGACTGCTGTCATGACTGGAGGGCGAGGAGAGGCCACTTCCTGCTGCGCAAGCTCATCATGTGGGTCGCGGGCCTCTCTCTCTCTCCTAGCCCAAAGATGCGCGACTCGCTGCTACCTATGACGAACACCATCGCCTCGGTTCATGTGCAAATTTTCGTCCGTCCATCATCTGCCGATCGTAGTAACGCGCCTCCTTGAAATTGATCCAACTCCCTTGTCCATCATGCGAGCACGTACTACGCCTACCCACTCTCTGAAGCAAGCACGCCGAAAGACGTGGCGCAAGGACGGTTCAGAGCTCAATAGCGGTCGTGCCGCACATGCTGCCACGCACGGCAAACGCTCTCTTGCAACGTGGCAGAAAACAAAGAGCGTGACACCATTTGAAGGCGAAACTCACGGAAAGAGGGCACGCTGACACGAGTCGCCAACATGGGGCCCATCCCCCCCCCCCCCCCCCCCCCCCCCCCCCCCCCCCCCCCCCCCCCCCNCCGTCCTCTCGAGGACGCGTGGTCAATGGTCTAACCGCTAAGGCATGCAAAACATAAGAGTACGCCCCCCCGCCCCCGCCCCATCGCCTCTACCCCCTCCCCCAACCCGTCTACAAAGACGCACGCTGCGCACATGACCTTCGGTGCTACTCTGTAATTGGCTGCCAAAGCATACCTCTTGTACGTTTAAGATATCGAGCGGATTGCATCCGCAGAAACAAGCGAAACAGACATTCCAAACAGAGAGCAAACAGACAGAAAACCCAGAAAAACATAGAAAGAGGACAAAAGGGAGAGGGAAATGAAAAATGTATACGCCATCGTGGCCTCAAGTGCTGCCGCCCGACGCCTAGCTCTCACTCAGCCCACGTACTAGTTCTGCTGCCGGTCTCCCTGACTCATCAATGCCTAAGCACAGACAGACCCCGCCCCGCTCCGCCCCTACCATAGTTTCGTCGCCCCTCTCGAACCTACCAAACCTAAATAAATGATGGTAAAAACATGTGTAATGCAGCGACGGGAGCTTGTCGACGCACACTCACACTACATACAGCAGGCGATTAGGTTCGACCCGGTCAACATCCAACTATTTTCCGGTCGGTCCAAGTAAAAACCAATAAAATTCGTTCAATCCACCTACTACTACTTCCAGGTATCACAAAAACAAAAATTGGAGGTGTTGTCTCTCTAGGAACTTGGGGGGTACCTACAACCCCCCCGCGCGCCCCTTTCCCACCCCCAGCCGCCAGGAAAAACTTGTGAGTGTGTACGAGGAGAGAGAGTCCTTTCTAAACAGACAACGATGTACTGTAGCATGTGAAGGGACATCAACCGCCGCAACCACAACTTCCAAGAGACACGTAAATCTAGAGCAGTTGCATACGACGGGGCGGGACGACTTGAATCTCTCAAAAAGGGGCGGCTGCGGCGGCGGAAACACAAGGAGAAAAAAAAAAAGATGTAATATATCTCTCAACAAAACATACAGTACCACACAGAACAGATCGTACTCCAGTGCACGGCTTTGATAAAACAGCCGGCAGGACCGCAGAATGGGAACACGAAACCACGAGAGGAACAACAACACTTGAAAAAAAAAAAAAACGCCCCTGATGACCTCTACCCCTGCATCCTTTCCACCTTTCCTCGGGAAGGTGGCAATGTTTTGGTGATACGCAGGCGACACTGCTGTAAGACTGCAGAGGCACGCGTCCACGCGCGCCGATACGACCAACCAATGTCGCGGTAACAAAAAAGAGCGAAAAACACCGGAGAGAGAGGATGTTTTTTTGAACCCGGGACTATACAAAAATACGGCAAAACCACGACAAGATGGGTGAGTTGAGTGGGCGCTCTCCAGACGGCGCGACATACAGAATTCCCCAGGGAAAGAAGTAGACAAGCTGTAACCATAAGGACGATTTGAGGGCCACCCCCTTCTTCCTCGAAGACTTACATAATGACCAACACGGGAGTGTGCCTAGCTTCACCTGTAACCCCCTTCCCCCCCCCCACGCGCGTTGCTAGCGATGGCACGTATCGGCGTTACAAACAACTCAACTTGCTGCGAGAAGCGACTCAAAGGGCACACCTGCCAATACCGCCACATTTTCCATACAACACACTTGCCCTCCACGGGCCTTCACACCATCTTTTCATGTAGATGGCAAAAACATTCAGGGCTCCAACAGGGAGAAAGGACAGGGAGGAGGGAGGCCGTTTGGTTACGCCCATCCACCTATTGGGATACATGTAAGCCCCTCGTGCTTATCTAAAAACGTGCTGCGGCGCCTTTATCAAGTCGTTCGGGGGAACTTCCCCCCCCCTACAGATCAACGCAAGGCGCGTCCTGGCTACACAAAAAAGAAAAAAAAGCACACACATCGAACACATCACCACCATTACATGAAAAAAAAAAAAAACGGAAATCAACTCAAAGCAGCGCCTCCCGGGCACCACAAAAAACGGCGTCTCCAGGCACAGCCCGGACGGAGCGGAACCAACGCCGATGCTGTTGCTCCGCAGTGCTACGCAGACCACCTTGTGTGGTTTTTCACGGCCATAAAACACCCTTGATCCCGTGCTCAAAAAACATTACTGACGTACATCGGGATCAGCCCGTAATGTACGGACGTGTGCTCGGTCCAAAATCTCCCAATGACCGATCTCCCTCCCCCCACTGCACCGGCCGTGCCGTGCCCAATATGTTACTAGCCTCTCGTTCCCCCTGGACCTCACCCCCCGGCCCCCGCCTCACGCCGAGCGCCCGCCCCTGGAGGGACCTTGCTACGCACCTGGTTCCACCGGCCTGGCAGTTATCTCAATCGCTCCGAGCTAGCTCGGGAGTCCTCGCGAGCGACGGCACACCGTCCAACAAAATCTCTCGGTTTCATCGCCCCCGGGGCCCTCGATGCGCCATCCGTTCTAAGACGCGGGACCGTCACCGCTGGCCTTGCCGGGGCTGGAGACACAACGACGCCGACTCGGACCCCTCTACTCGTCAGCCTGGTGCCGCCCAACATCCGACTTCCGGTCCTCTTCCCCTCCATCTCGCCCAGGAACGGGTGACTCTTCCCTCTCGCCCCCACGTTGCTGCTGCTGCTGCTGCTGCTGCTGCTCTTGCAGCTGGTAGGAGGGGGACGACGAGGAACCGGTGTGCATGGCGCGAGGGGAGGAGGAAGGGAGAGCAACTCCACCGCCTTCCTCCTCCGCGGGATGATGCCGACGGCCCTCCTCCACACGCTCTCTCTCCCATTGGAAGGGGACCGCCGCACCGCCCCTACCGCTGCCGCCGTCGCCTACCCCTCCGCGCAATGACCCCTGGGGCCAGAACCCTCTGCGGCCCCCGTCCCAGTCTTGCCTCCCGCGCTCCACTTGCTGCTGCTCCTGCTCAAAGTCACGATGGTCACGACTTCCACGGCCGGGCAATCCCATTTGGTCACCTCCGCCGCCGGCCCAGCGTGGTCGCCCAGAGGGATACTCGTACGCACCGCCGTCTGCGCCGCCGCCGACCCCGCCGCGCGCGGCGTATCCCTGCTTGTCGCGTGGGGGCGAAGGAGCACCCAGGAGCATGTCGTGCTTTCCTTCTCCTTGCCTGCCCCCGCCCATCAGCGGCCTCTCCAGGGGAAGATGGCGGTCGAACCCGTGCGGCGGGGGCGGCAGCTCCACCTGCTCGTGGTAAGGGTCGCCCCCCCCTCCACCTCCAGCTCCTCCGCCGTGGGGGAGGGGCCACTCCACCACGCCCCGCCCCCGACCCTGCCCGTCTTCCCCGGCTTCTCGATCGAAGTTGCGGTACCTTCGGTCTCCTCCCAGAGACGCGCCGCGGCCACGGCCGCCACCGCCGCCACCTCCGCCACCTCCGCCTCCCGGGCTGCTCCACGACGACGACGACGGAGCTCGATCCGAGGACTCGAACGATCCGAGCTGCGGCGGCGGGTACTGGTGGTACGCCCTGGGGTCGTTGCGGTCGACCGGCCTGCCGTCGCCGCCACCGCCACCGGGGGAACCCGATTCCCAGGTAGAACCCCGCCTCCAGGACGGGCGATTGGCAGCCGGGTGGAACGAGAACCCGGCCGTCGGATCGGGAGGTTCCCTTGGGGGGGGCAGGGAGAGGACGCTGGACTCCGGGTCTAGTTCCCTTGGCCGCTCGTGGGGCCGACCGGCCATTTCGCTGGCCCGAGGCGACGTTGCGGGCGAAGGGTAATAGTCGGCGCCCGGCCTCATCACGGGGCGGCTGCCACCGCCGCTTCCGCCGGCCGCACCCGAACCGAAGGTCGGGGGTGACTGCAGAGGAAACCGAAGTCAGGGTCCACGGGGGAGCAAAACAGCGGATGACGTACAGTACAAGCACGTCGCAGGAAGGCAGGAAGGCAGGAGGCAGGCACCAGGTGCGTTCGTTCAGAGCGTGCCCGGAACAAGGCGAGAGAGAGAGAGAGAGAGAGAGAGAGAAAGAGAGAGAAAAAGAGAAAGAGAGAGAGTTCTCTCGCGGCCGGCGAGACAATCACCGCTGCAGTCAAGAGTTCACGCGCCCTGTGTTATCCATAAACTTCGAAAAAAAAAAATGATACGACACGCCAAGACACGCCCGTCGAACTCAAGGCGCAGACGCTACTGTACTCGATTGGCATATATTTCGAAGTAAGTAATTGCAAGACAGGTGGTGCCAATAACGCCTCTTGAACATTGGCGAACCTAAGACTGAAAATGAGCGTTTACGCCATCCTGGTTCAACACCGCAAAAGAAACCAAACACACACATATGCTCCAGCCAAAGATATGCTTGGCTATCTGCCGTTCGGGCTTTCAGCGCGACATCCCCGCGCCTTCGCAAAAAAGCAACCACTACGGAAACTCACCAGCCGGACCCGCTTGCCCTGCGCCAGGGCCGCTTCTCCCTGCTGCGGCGACCTGAGGAAAGGATCCGACGGACTCGCCCAGTGTCCCGGGGGCAGCTCCGGCGTCCTCCTCCTGTACGGCTCCCGCATCGCCGGCGCCCCCGGTCTTCGCCCAGCCGCCGCCGCCGCCGCTGCCTCCGCTTCCAAGAACGACATCGAATACGAGGCGCGGTGGTGGTAGCCGTGCTCCTGCTGCCGTCGCGAGAGCTCCTCCGCCGTGGTCGGCGCGTACCCCATGGGAGGAGGAGCAAACCCCATGCCGCCGCCGCCGCCGCCGCCCCCCCGCTCCCCCCCCCTACCCTCCGCCTCTCCGTGCGGGGATGGCCGCGACGCGTACCACGGGAACGGGAGCCCAGGGGACGAAGGCAGCAACGACGACGGGTGACCCTCTTCGCCCGGCCACCGCCCTCGCCCCTGTCCGGGCCGCGGAGCCCCCTCTTCCCACAACGCCTCCGCGCCGAACCTGCCGCCCGCCGCGGCTGCGGCTGCGGCAGCGGCGGCGTGCGCCGACAGCCCGCCGCCGCTATTGTAAGTCCTCTCCGCCGCCCTCATTCCTGCGGCGTCGAATGGCGCCAAGGAAAAATCGTGGTGTGGCAGCTGGCCGCCTCCCCCGCTGGTGCCACCACCCTGAAACTCGTGGGGCAGGGGGGGCCCTCCCGCCCCACCGGTGCGATCCGCCCACTCCGCGATCACGGACCGTTTCCGACGCGGGGCGTACTTGGTGCCCTTCGCCGGGCCGCTCTTCTTCCTCGCGCTGCGGGTGCACGGCTTGTGCCGGCGGGCGCACAGGGAGCAAGGGTTCTTTCCGTCGCAGGCTCGCTTCAGTCGCACGCAGTAGTCGCAGCTCTTGCGCAGCTCGACGGTCGGGTCCTGAGAGACGGAAGGAGGCAAGCGCAGGACACAAGGCAGATGAGGTGGTGAGAGAGGAAAACTGAGGGGGCCGTTTTTTCTTCCTCTCAGCCGGACACGGGTTCTGCCCACTGTTGTCACTTTCCGACACTCAAAACTGACTTGAGAACAAGTGGGAAACATGAGGTTAACAGAATCAATGTTGTACCTGATGGATCATAAGGGTAATCAAGAGGGTTGCATATCTCGCGCCTGCATCTTTCCACGGGTCTTGAGTAATACTGCCGTTGATACTATTGCACTCAAAACCACATCACACAAGAAAACAACTGCCGCTACACCATTCAGTCCACCAACTTCGTTAAAGGAAAAAACTCCATATGTGAGGAGTGGACCCAGGTAGTATCGCTCGCTGACTTTACACGCACAACCCAACACCAAACTTGAGCGCCGGGGTCCACTTCGAACGAAGATTGTTAAAGTTAACGTTGCTAACTTGGGCGACCCGACCTGTTTATGTAGCGGCCCAGCTCGACCACGAAATTTTTGGACAGCTGGTTCTTTTTCTGTTAGAACGAACTCGCTCGTGTGTTTTCAAACATCATGGACAACTGATCGACCTTTTCCCACCACGGCCAACAGGTTGGGATCTCGGTAGTGGTGGTGCAGACAGAAACGATTATGATGGCAATGAGGGGAGCTCGGTTTGCAGTGACGGAGGAGGAGAGGGAACGGGAGGACAAAACAGAGACCAAGACAACCATCGAGGAGGGGATCATGGATTGGAAGAGAGCAAGAGCTTCGAGCCAGATGACCTTCCCCACAACAAACCACGCAGGGTCAGAGAAGAACTGCCGAAAATTGCTGTCAAAATGATGGTAGTGAAAGCAAGGAGGGTAATGGTGAAAGCACTCCAAAACGAACTCGAGTGCAAGGTAGCAGCCTTGGTAGACGCGTGCAGTTTGCTTCTGTTGCTACCGTTTCTGTCTTTGATCTGGAGAATAACTTAGCCTCCCCCATGCCGCCCCCCTCACTGGGTCCCAGTTCATAGCAGGCATCTACAAGTGTTTTACGTTTTCAACCGCACTGAGACTGACGTCTTTTCATTGGTCAGCCGGTTGGCGCGGTCGATGCTAATAATCAAGACACACACGGACAGCGGACAGACGCAATACACGAACGAGGGTACACGTGCCGCGAAGAGCTCTACGCAAAGGCGCACCATTCGCGACGTGGTGAGGGCTGGGGGTACAACTGTAGCTGTAGTAGTAGTAGTAGTAGTAGTAGTAGTTGTTGTTGTTTGTTTTCTTGCAGTGCGCTTCCTGTCGTGTTTATTTTTTTCGTTTAGTTTTGTCTTTTTTATGTTGCAACATCGAAGGACGGCAAAGGGGACTGACATTTGGCTTCGTCCACTACGTATTTTGCATTTAAGGGATGGTTCGCGCGACAAGTTCAGGCTGTGCAGTACAGTACGAGTGCTGAGGCAGGAAGAAAATAATGGTGCAACATGCAAGTAATTTTTCTGCAAGATCGTTTGTGTGTGCGACAGGGGTGAACCACACGCGTCGCGAGACAGTCTGCCCACGCCCACCCTAGAACAGGGCCCAGAGCTATAAACTGTCGATCCATTTCGTACTCGCAAAGCGTGAGCGCCACACTGTACTGGAGCAACTAGTGTGTGAGCGTTGTACGAGCGTTTCATGAACGCTGTATGAGCGCGTATTGGATACTCTGAATTTTCTTTGGATATGGACACTTGGCGTCGATGAGGGGTATTGAAGTAGCTCAAAGGAAAACCAAAATCCCAGCCCCGCTCGCTCATTCTTCGAGTGGGCGCTGAGCGGACCTGGTCTAAGAAGGCTAAAACAAGAGATCAAACAACAACTGTGAGTACCCGAAGCCAGGATCAACGAACTTGCTCCCTCCTTTTACTTCTCTGTTCCTCCGTAACAACACCATGAAGTCATCTCCTCAATAGTGCAGGCTATTGAGGGGTATTCAAAACCTCAATAAATAGTGCCGAACCTGCATTATTCAGGCACTCTTGTGATTACAGTGCAGGTGCCCGCTACAATATGTTTTTGTTGTCTTCACATAAAAAACCGTTCCGTTCTCTCTGTGTACTAGTCCTAACACGTGACGGGATCGATTGCCGTGGTCACAGGCTTAGCTTTCTCAAAAAAGGTATACGAAGATAAAATGGACCCGAAGGGTCCGCAATAGTGCAGGTCAAATCTCTGGACACATCCCTGCACGATAGGGATAGGGACCCCAGTACTGCTGTAGTCCGGTGCAGGCTCTATCTACTGCTCTATGTACTTTTGTGTACATAGGATTTTAGTGTAGCATAAACTATGCATAGTAAGAAGGATTGCACGCATTCGCGATAGGATTACAGCCAGAGTAGGGTTAGGTTCAGTGCTTAAAAAAAATTGAAAGTCCGTGTGCCCGCTTTTGGGAATGCGCTGCTGCCCGTGCCTCTTTGTATTGTTGGGTGGTGCTTGTCGACCCGCCCAAGATCGCCATAGTACCATTAATTTGAAGCACTTGTTACGCATATAATGGACGTACACTAGATGGATAAAACGTTTGTTTTCTTTTTTTCTTGGATCTATTTTTCTCGTCCTTATACAGGCTGTACAGGGAACAGAATTCTCATGAACGAGCACACGCGAAAGAGAGAGAGAGAGAGAGAGAGAGAGAGAGAGAGAGAGAGAGAGAGAGAGAGAGAGAGAGA